TAACTTCACAAATTGTCTGCCATTGGAGGGTGATAATCAGTTTATTCATCAGATGAAGAAATTTGTATGACAGCCATAGAAAGGGGATAAACTTGAGCTGACTCCAAATTCTTCAAAGTGATTATTTTGTGTACCCTGTTATTTGCATCAAACAGAATTCTATATGTCGCGGTTATGTCAGACAAAAACGGTGTACTGTAAAAGTATAACAGCAAGCCATAAACCAGTTTGTGTAATTAAACAGAAAATTAGTTTGACATTTGACAATCATTTTCACATAACACTGCCAATGTAGATTTCATTTAACATCACACTAAGCATAATTTCTTTACATACTGCATGTCTAGCTGATTGTGTTGTTATTCCTCTAATGTGCACAGTAGATTCCAGATAGTAAATGAAATGAAATTGCTGAGCATGCTGATAATAACAGTGGTTGTATTCTCTTAACAAGTAAGCTAAAAGGAAACTAAAGACTTTTCACATTGCGAACACAATAACTGCATCTGCATACAACAATAATACATGTATGTACATATATTGTCCAGACGAAGTGTTTTGGTCAAAGTACAGCAGGTGCTTACATTTAAAACATACAGTTCATTGTTGTTATTGTTGTTGTTCTTTCAGTTGCTCCCATTAGGGGTCATCACAGCGGATCATTGGTCTGAACATTTCTTTTTTTAATTATTATTTTGTTTTATGCCGGACGACCTTTCTGACACAACCCTCCCATTTTATCCGGCACTGAGTGCAACCCCCAGTGGTTAGGGTTCCCTGCTCGGGAATTTAACCCAGACCGTGGTGGTGAGAGTACAGGATTCTTAGCCACTAGAACACCAGGGAACTAAAACATACAGTTCATTAACAATTTTAAATAAGTTACAGTAATTGCAGAAGTATACACTGCCACAAAAATGCAGACACAAACACAATAACCAGATCATTTGATCAACCCATTTGATCTCGTATACTTCATAATAGGCTACAAAAACGGCATCTGCTACATTTGCTAGCACAAAAATGTTACAGAAAAGAACTATTCAGTTTTTTTCCCCCAGTGACAGAACATGTTAGTATATAATATAGTTATTCAAAATCATGCATGAACGAATTAGAATAAAAATCTTATCACTTTGTTAACAAAAACGACAATCTCCTTTCTTACAAATAAACAGACTAACATATTACGGCTTCTAGTCCATGAAATGTTTTTAATATATGTAAATTTCTAATAATCACTAGTAATAGAAAATATTAGACATAGAGGCACATGAATAAAATACATGAGTACATGGAAAAGAATTCCCAGAGTTATTGATAATCCACAGGTATGAATTGTGTATTCGCATCTGTCTCTGTGATTTTGAAGTGCTCCATATGCAGGTCTTTTTTGATTGTGGTTCCTTCACACACCATGTAGACTGTATTCTCTGTGAGGTTACTTGGCTGAGAGCCACGACATGCCTGGGATCTAATGCAGGCATGGAGAAACTGCATCACCTCCTGTTGAAAAGACTTGCTGAAGGCATAATAGATTAGTGGGTTGTACACAGTGGAAGTCTTGGCAAAGAGGCAGGGCAACATACTGACATGAGGAGTGATGGAGGAAGTTGAGTAGATTGACCATAAGCTCACTATCCCATAGGGTGTCCAACAGCCAATGAACCCAGCGCTGATCAGAACAGCAATCTAAAGAAACATTTTATACGGTAGTATTTTATTTACTTTATATACAGTTTATTTATTGTGCATAACACTTTTTGTTACAGAAACTTGCATTTTATTTTACAGACCAAGGGTAATTAATAGGGTAGATATCCTACAATGTTAAACATTTTATTGGATGGTGATTTATGAATATCATGCCTTAGGTGACAGGATTATTTGCTAAATAAAACCATTATTAGATACCAGCACTGAGTATCAGTTATATATAACACCAATCACAATTCTGAAAAAGTTGGGACTGTATGGAAAATGCAAAAAAAATTACAATTTTGGAGACTCCTTATATATTGTGATTAGACGATTGCCTCACCTGTTTCACATCACCTTCTTATTTAAACTTTTCACATTGCTATCAGTCCTAAATTACTTTCTCCCAATTTTTTGGAACTTGTTGCATCCATCCATCCATCCATCCATCCATCCATCCATCCATCCATCCATCCATCCATCCATCCATCTATCTATCTATCTATCTATCTATCTATCTATCTATCTATCTATCTATCTATCTATCTATCTATCTATCTATCTATCTATCTATCTATCTATCTATCTATCTATCTATCTATCTATCTATATATATATATATATATATATATATATATATATATATATATATATATATATATATATATATATATATATATATATATATATACACACACGTCCACAAAACATTTTTCCAACAGCCTTCTGACCTGTCCACTGACTGTAGAAAACTGCAGACGGCAGCAATGCTCTTTTGGAGAGCAGTGACTTCCTCCTTGTAATCCTGCTCTGCACACCACTTTTGTTCAGTGTTCTCCATTAACATTAACCAATTGCTTACAGCCTGATGAGCATCAACAACTCGTTTTCAAAGGTCCTCAAAAATCTCCGTTGTTCATGCCATGATACACTTACACAAACATGTTTTGTGAAGATCAGACTTAAATTTAAAACACCTGACTCTATTTACCCTCAAATGAAATGCTAATCCTAGAGGTCAACATACTTTTGCCACTCACAGATATGTAATACTGGATCATTTTCCTCAATAAATAAATGACCAGGTATAATATTTTTGTCTCTTTGTCTACTTTTAGGACTTGTGTGAAAATCTGATGATGTTTTAGATTATATTTATGGAGAAATATACTGTAAATAAAAAATTCTATAGAAAATTCTATACAAGTATACAAGAACCACTGTAAATATATAAATTTAAATAAGACATCTGATTTATATGTCTATATAACTCACCAACATGAGACGGCGCTGCAGCTTAACTTTGTTCTGGATGATCTTGGCATTTTCTTGAGACTTGTAGAAGGAATTGAGTCGAAAGGTGATGCCAAAGTAGCAGCAAATGATGATGATGGCTGGGATGGCCAGGTTCATGGCAAAAATGCTAATGACAAAGGATGGGCTGTGCTCTTTCATTTCTGCCCAGGCCAGAGTGCAGGACAGGCCGAAGGGCTCAGGGCCATACGCGCCCCAGCCAATCAGAGGAAACACAGCCCATAAGAGCGCATACAGCCACGTGCCAGCCAACATCACCTGCACCGTCCTTTTACTAATTTTCTCCGCTAAGCACACAAACACAGACAAACACATACACAGTGAAGGGCTATGGAATGAATAGTCAAATTTACTTTTCTTGTGAATCACTTCTTTGTGTTCTTAGGCTATTGTCACCAGATCTCAAACTAAATGAAGGGACATTTTTGTACCTACATATGTATAAAACAATTCTCTCCAAACCAACTAAAGAAATAAATTTTTAGAAATCTCTACGTGCTTTAATGCCGTTCAATTTATTGGTCAGACACTGGCTCTTCCAGTCTTTTTTATTTTTACTATACACCTCATTTCCTTTGCTCCTTTGAAGAAGTTGGTAAGAGCAAACTGTTTTTTGAGAATAGATGTTAAATTAACACAAATGTGTGTTCGTTTAAAATAAAATGTCTGATTAAGCAACTGAGTACAGTACTGGATTTAAAGTAATGGCTTTCCCCCAAGCATCTATAGTTTTGTAATCTTTGTTTGTATTAGTTCAAATAGGGATGCAGCTAATTGAGTGTGAAATTGCGGTAACATTTGTACGAGGCTAGCTCCACTGACGAGTATCCTGCAGCTATGGAAAATTAGGCTGTAGTTAGCAAATAGATAATTATACATCGGAAATGAACATACTGTAAGCTGATATTTTGAGTTGCAATGTATCTAATGTTCTCTCCTACCATGAGCATAACTCTGAAGTACATTCAGTTCACTTCATAGTAAATGATACAGATTGGATATTCAGCCCTTAATATGGCATTCGATACACTTGATAAACAGTAGGTAAATTTCCAATTTGCATGATCCAATTTTAAGAGTGGACTTCTGCAGTACTCACTGTGAGAATGTAGAGTCATGGATGCATTGAAGCGCACTACAGCCATGACTGTCAGGGTTGCCATGCTGGCGACACCGAAAAAGAACCCCATCCAGCCATAGTAGATACAGGTGACATCACCCCCTAACCAGGAATGATTCCACAATGATGCTACAGCAAGAGGGTACATTGAGACTGCTGCACCAAGATCTGTTATTGCCAGGTTCACACTGAGGAGCTCTGGGGGCTTCATCTGAGAAGATCTTTTGTATGCCATGAAAAGGACCAGGAGATTCCCCGCAATGGATAAAATTGCTAAATGTGACACAAAAAGGAAATAAAAAAAACTAAAGTCCATTTTGTTACATAGAAATGGCCAAACAGACCACATATATAAACATAATTGTATTATTATTTATATTTACTAAAACATTAAAGCATCATTCCACAACATATGCATGACCCACAGTCTTTAGATGACATACAGTTGTCTGTTGGACTCCATCCTATGCACAATAGTCCTGATTATTTCCCCATGACCTTGTCCTCATCATCAAATACATTATATTGTATGTGTCTCAATAATTTTAAGTCATGTGCTGACCCCATGAAAGTCCCAGCTTACTACTCAGTTGAAATTCCATCCATCCATCTTCAACCGCTTATTCCTGCTTCAGGGTCGCGGGGAACCTGGAGCCTATCCCAGGAAGCATCGGGCACAAGGCAGGGTACACCCTGGACAGGGTGCCAGTCCATCGCAGGGCACAATCACATACACACTCACACACCCATTCACACACTACGGACACTTTAGACACACCAATGCATGTCTTTGGACTGGGGGGATGAAACCGTATCCGGAGGAAACCCCCGCAACACGGGGAGAACATGCAAACTCCGCGCACACACATGGCCCCGGGGGGAATCGAACCCCGGACCCTGGAGGTGTGAGGCGAACGTGCTATACACTAAGCCACCGTGCGCCCTCTCAGTTGAAATTATTCAATTTATTTAGAGAGTTCTGAAGTTGTACCCTTCTCGTCCTCTACCCCTGTGTCCTTGAATGTTCTCTATTGTACACCAATCACACATTCACCCAACCTTCTCTATTGTACAGATGTCAGCCCTTATCATTTATGATTTTATATGTGTCCTTTCATTCTGTTTGAAAGGTTCCGCCAGCCAAAGCTTACAGTATTACAGATTGTCTACACACTAGATTACTTCTGGGTGATTGACATGAAGAATTTATTTCACATACCTGCACATGGACTGTATGGAAACTAAGCTGAAATATAATCCTTTAATTATTCCTAGTTGTGAGTCAAATACAAAAATTTATTTATTTAAAAAAGTATTTAAAAATACTGTTCACACTGTGTAAAACTTTTCACACGAGTAACCATATCAAGCATAAGCTAATAGTAATGCCAATTGCTAGCTAGCTCATACATGCCTTGGAATCATATACATGAACTGTCTACATATACATGAAGCAATGTCTCCCTAGACCTGCTGGAATCCCTGCTTGCACTCTGATCTTAACATACACCATTTTAAACCACTGTAGGATACTAATAATCGTACTTCAATGTCCAGTCTCATCTGGATACTGTACATTTGAGTTCCCTTTTATAATGGCATGTTTAGAGGAGAAAAGGAGTACATTTATAACTTATCATCATATGCATACACCATTGCTGGAGGCTTGCCAGAGCAAATACATAACTAGCTATAATTCACCCTCATATTATTACCACAAATCAAACCCTCATCTTCATGTGCCTGCAAGGTGAGTGAAGCCATAGGATGTCCTATTTGTGAGGGTACTCACAAGTGCCTTCTACAGTATGTGCCTTTTGTTGAAGCCCTTTGATGTGCACATATGTGTGTGTGTATGAGTAGGTGATTGATGTGGGTAAGTCTGCATTGTGCATGTCAGTGGTTATGTCGTGTAGAATTCAAATATCTGTACTGTAGGACGGTGTATCATCTTAAACCCAGAGAAATGCTGTAGAGCAAAGATACCTTCAAGAATAAGGAAATTAAATGTTTCGACATAAAAAATAAATACCATAAAGTGCAGTAAACAGTAATAAATGAAACAAAGTCACTATTTGGTGTGAGAACCCTTTGCTTTAAAAAATTGTAGTCTCAGGTAAACTGTCATGCAGTTTTATAAGGAAATTAACTGTAAGTTTTATTGAGCATCTTACAGAACCAGCCAGACTTTGACTGTCGCACTTGCTTCTTATGAATGCAGCAAAACCCAGCAGCCTTCATTATGTGTTTTTTTTTATCTTACATAATATGCTGCTTTCTTTCCTAACATACAAACATTTTTCTATAACAGCTGGAAAACTCATACATGGTAGTCTAAAATGTTTTTGTGTTGACTCCATAATGTAGAAGCCATAAAAAAAAAATCTAGTTTGTACAAAAAAGAGTTCCATATAAGTTCAAGTATGTGTATATATATATATATATATATATATATATATATATATATATATATATATATATATATATATATATATATACTGCTCAAAAAAAATAAAGGGAACTCTTAAACAGCACAATGTAACTCCAAGTGTTCCCTTTATTTTTTTGAGCAGTATATATATAAATACACACACACACACGCACACACACAGACACACATATACATACATGAATACAATAAAATTGTCAATGAAAATAGCTTGATCTTTATAATGAGTAGCCAGTGTCACTTTAATTAATTAGTAAATTAATTTTACCTATTAGCAACAGAAAGGCCCCGACTCCATAATCCACCGCGGGAGAAAGTTTGGAAGAATAAATATCCATAAGGAGCTGGATTGGTGTTTTTCCAATGCGTGTAAAATGAACTAAAGGCAGCGGCGCATAGAGATCTGAGTGATTATCCAGCAGTGTCATTCAAGAACAGGTCGATTCTTCTGTGTGTCTGTGTGTGTGTGTGTGTGTGTTGTACTGCTGCTTGTTACAGAGATGTACTGTAGCTATGTAGAAGATGTATTGAGAAGGTGAACAACAGGGTAACATTACAAGAACTATTGTGCTTGTGTAACACAGCAGCACAACAATATTAATGCAAGAATGCTTAGACTGCTTTGGAGAAATCATATGAAATGCCTTGTTTTTATTTTTGTTGTTTAAATATATTCTATAATAAGAACGTTTTTTTTTTTTTATCATGGGCTATAATAAGATTTTATTGCACAATTGAAATGACAGCTACGTTCAGTGAACACTTTATTAGGAACACCTGTACACCTACTCATTCATGTAATTATCTAATCAGACAATCGAGTGGCAACAGTGCAATGCATAAAATAATGCAGTTATGAGCCAACAGCTTCAGGTAATGTTTACATCAACTAAAAGTATGGGGGGGGAAATGTGATCTCAGTGATTTTTAACAGTGACAGGATTGTTGGTGTCACATGGGCTGGTCTGAGTATTTCTGTAACTGCTGAAATCTCCTGGGATTTTCACCCACTATTTTTGTAGGTTTGATAGGTTTTGGAAGTAACTTCAAAGTAAAGTCATTTGTAAGCTGGTTACTTTTTTACATGCAGTAATCAGTAATGTAATCAGATTACAATTTTAAAGAAGTAATTAGTAATCTGTAGTGGAATACTTTTGAGTAATTTGAGTAATTTACCCAACAGTGGAAATGAATGCTTTTCATGATATCTAGGTGCTATATATAATTTTGAAGGCACCTTTTTCTGATTGTTTCCAAGGGAACGTATTGAAACTATTCATATTCATGAATCCCAAACCATGTAAAAATGGAGTTAGTTAATATCTGTTATTATTGTGGGTTATAATTGGTGTTTTTATTTTTTTTTTGTAGGCTAGAAACAAACCACGGGGAAGTACATTAAGGCATGTCTAATTTAACGTTATCTAAATGTCAGATGTAATAGTTCAGTGTAAAATCACCAACTTGTGCTCCTCTGCAGGATCAGAGCTAGTGATGTTATTAGTGATGTTAATATATTCATTAGAAATCTTTTCGTATTAGTCAAAGCTTTGTGTTCATTGTTGCTTCCACCACTGCAACTGCTAGTATGATAATTAGTTGGATATAGTAAGCTATATTTCATTTTTTTCTTTTTATGTCTAAAAAATTGGGTACTTTATTAATGGGTACAAAAGAGTTGAAATATCAAATATGTATTGTATTTGTATGAAAAGTTTAAGAATACATAAATATGTACATAGCTATACTAAATGAACAAAAGTATATGAACCATCTTACCCAATTCTGCTTGTTGAACATCCCATTCCAGATTTAGTCCCCCTTTGCTGTTATAATAACCTTCACTCTTCCTTTTTTTTTTTAGCGTGGCTGTGGGGATTTGTGCTCAATCAAAAGAGCATTAGTGAGGTCCTGACGCTGATGTTGGGTGACGACGCTTGGTGCACAGTTGCTATTCCAGTTCACCCCAAAGGTGTTCAATGGGATTGGAGTCAGGGCTCTGTGCAGACCACTCGAGTTCTTCCAACCAAAACTTGCTAAACCATGTCTTCATGAACCTTACTTTAAAACTACCGCGTACAAAAATACTGTATCTCTAGAGTTGGCCATATAATTTATTCTCTGTATTATATTCCATGTGCTCAAATGGGATTTAAGTCCTCATCAACTCCATTTTACTGGGAAAATATTCATTTAATGTGCAAATGCAAGAAGAAGAAGAAGAAGAAGAAGAAGAAGAAGAAGAAGAAGAAGAAGAAGAAGAAGAAGAAGAAGAAAAAGACAAATGTAGCCCCAAAATCTGTGGAAAATACTGAATGAAAATGATTCAGTCGTCCTTGTGAAAAACAGTCAGTAATCAATTTATTTGCAGCAATCAAGTTGATCTTGTACAGCAGTTATTTCAGCTTTTTCAAAGTGTTTAAACTTTGTCAAAGTTTTAGCATTTACAAACACTCAGATTAACATGTCAAACATGAATGAGTGATATGCTGACAATTGTTTATCCTAGCTGATGTGGATCAAAAGTGGATGAAAGCTACCAAAGAATGCTTGCCTGTCTGAGTCTGTAGATATTTTCTGTCACTAACATAAACATACAATCTGGCAATTTGACTTGCTTTCAAAATAGGCTGACATTTCCCCAATACAGTACGTACACACTACACAGAATGTTTTGCTTTCCTGTAGAGAGGTTCATGCTGGCTCTTCATTTAAATAAGAGTTTGAGGTCCTGAGGTTGATAGCCATGTACACGCTGAGAAAATGTACTAAACTCTTTGAATTGCAAATACTTATCAGTGGGAGGTTCTGAATTAACCTGGTTGTCAACATATCAACATGATTTTCATACTGAGATACACTCTTTCCTGAGAATTTTGAGATCAAGAATATCAAGATCCTAGGAGTGATAATATAATCTGCATAATATGCTAGAAGTATGTTTAGCATATTATGCAGATGAGCAAAAAATCCATAAAATGCTGAAGTAAGTAGGCATGGCCTTAATTTGGTTTAAGACAAGGAATAATAGTAAAAAAAAAAGTAAAAAAAATCGTTTAATGGACCTAAGGTTCCTGAAAAAGACAAAGCATAAATTCTTGCACTATAGCTCCCCCATCAGGCTGATTGGGCTCCTCTCACATGCATTCAGCTGTCAAAGTTTCACATCTGTAGGACTTATGGTTTGGTGTGCAAGATTAAGATCATTGTCTTGTTGCATGATCCAATTTCAGCCTAGCTTAAGCTGTTGGACAAATGGCTTCACATTTATCTCAAGAATGTTCAGGTATAAAGTGGAGTTTTTTGCTGTCTCAATGACTGCAAGTTTCCCAGGTCCTGTGGCTGCAAAAAAGCCCAAATCAATCACACCTCCACCACTATGCTTCACAGTTGGTATGAGGTGTTTGGTTTTCACTAAACATGGTGCTATGCATGATGACCAAACATCACCTTGATCTCATCGTACAAAGGACATTGGTCCAGAACTTTTGT